GAAGCATGTTCAGGCATTGTGGGAGAGCATGCATGCTGTTAACTTGTCAGTGGTGAGTAAATAATAGAAAACTTACCAAAACGTGCCAGTAATGTGCTTAATTAGTACTGCTGAGGGTGATAGGTGTTTCTAGTTGTGCCGTGATAGCCATGTGGTTGCATGGCTTCTTGCCTGTAGCACAGCTGATTTGATCCTGGGAAACTGATTAAATGTTCAGAACAAGACTGTAACATTGGACTAAGTTGCAAACTGGGAAGTTACTCCAAGTTCACTGGTGTTAGTTAGGTTTCCTATTAAGTATTCCCTATAGAGAGTGTTCTTATACCGTGCTCTCCCTTGTGTTCAACGTGTGGGTATACTAATCAGAGAGCACACAGTAGTGGTTTGGTTTCTCCTACCAGTTGGTAAAATTGAATGTTTCACTATATAACTCCTTAGGCTACTTATCTTGTGGTTTTTACTTTTTATTACTTCTTCTTTAAAGTTCCGTGTCAAATGTCTTCATCCTAATAGCTACACCAACGATCATGTTTTGGCTCTGCACTTTATGTAACTGGTCCCATTCCACCAGGCGTATGCTTCAGGGGTCTTTATTGTGTAGGTGAAGGATGTGTTCTTCACTGTTGCATGATCAACAAGTCATTGAAGCCCATTCCTGGAGAGAGAGAGAGAGAGAGAGTTTAAGCTCCAATAATTTATTTTTTAGTAGACAGCATTGTCATCTTGTGATCCCCCTGCGCTTACTACCTGCTTATCCTTTAGTGCTGGACTACAGGTGGAGCTGGAGACTGCTTTGCAAACAGATCTGTCCTGGCTTATAGTTCTTGTTTTTTCCTTACTGCTCTGCTCACCGGACATGAGATCCTGAGGATGTTAATGGTAATTCTAGAGGCTCATAAGAATTCAGTATCTGGATCCTCAGCACCAAACCATGCAGCTGCTCCACAGTGCCTGAACATAGCCAAAGACAAATGCAGGAAGTGGTGTATTGATCTTCTGTTGATCTTCTTAATCTTTACTAGTGAAGCTGAGAGCAGACTCTAAATCAAATGTTCCCTGAGCACCAAAAGCCAGATTTCTCCAGCTTTTCTCTGCTGCTTCCTATTTTGTGAATCATATCAGTGCTGGGCTAAGCACAGACTCCCTATTTAGTTCTGGGGGAACTGCCATTTCCACACTTGGCTCTCCACTGGATCTTTTAGTCAGTATTTTCCATCCTGATTTCCAGGATCTAGCGGTTTTCTGGTACTCTCCTCATAACGCCTGGAAGGCAGTGCACTTCAGAGCAGTGTGAGTCTCTTTGCCATTCCTTCTACCATTGGCTTATCTTGGAGTTGCAGCATAGATGCGGTGCCATTCTCTCTTTTCCTGCTGTGCATTGCAGAAGGATGAGGGAGAAAACATCCATCAGGAAGAACATGGCAGATGGCTCAAGGAATGCTCCTGGGAAGACAGGGTACTTCAGCCTTCACAATATAGGCATTAGGGCTCAGATTCTTCACCTCTGTTACGGTCAAGCTGACCGTTGTTCCTCTTACCACCTACTGGCATGAAGGAGATGACCGGTTTTTGGTTTTAATATCCACTTGAGACCCCTGGTTTTGAAGACTGCTATTTCTCCCAAACATCCTCCTAAACCTTTTTTTTTTTAATGGGAGCCCTTTTATCCAAGTTCTTTAAAGTCTTTTCAGCCTTACCTGTTATCAGAATGACCAGCGGTGCTTTTAAACACTTTAAGGGGTTAGCTGGACATCCCGTTGAAGTAGAGAAGTAGTGTGTATTTGTACTAACAGAAGATTTTTTGAGGGCCATTGCCAGTGTGGGTGCCCTTGCTTCTTAGTGAAGCTTTTGCAGGCACAGCCAAAATTCTGCAGCAGATTTCTTTATTCCTCAGTGAGAAAAACTGATGTGGAAATTGAGTGTTTTTTTTTTTTTTTTTTTTTAATCCTTGATGATCAAAGTTGCTTTAGGGGAGGAAAAACTAGCAACCTAGTGCTAACAAATACTTGAATTGCTTGGGTAAGAGGGTCCGCCCCTTCCTGTCTCCCTCGTTTCTTTCTTGCCAGTGACCAGGCTTTTTTATTTCACCTTCTGGGTTGTCTTGTTTCCTCTATTTTGCCTCTACTAGCATCTTCTGGGAAGGTTCAGACAGTCACTGAGCTCACACTGATTTCTCAGACCTTTTTGCAGGCAGCACATAGGTGACAATTTGAAGGACGTCTGACCATGGCTGCCATGATTTTTTTTTTTTCCTGGCTGAAGTTCTCCAGTTTTCTGACAGACTAGCAAACCTCCATTGAAGACCTACCTTTTACTGGCACTGTCTGGGTGACTCCAGGGCTCTGTTTCTTCTGATTTCAAGTTCTGATCAAGGCAAAAGCAAGAGGAAGTATAGATAGTCTCATTGATTTGGGTTGGCCCAGGTAGTTCTTGTATTAGAAATTTGTCTTCCTCCTGACTTGAGGGGTCTGAGAGCCCTCTCTCCTCTGAGACCTGCTGAATTGGAACTAAATGCTATTACATTCCACTCCATTTTGTGTTGTGTATGCTAGCTGGCTATTTGCTAGAGCATGCCTCCTTCTCCCAGGTAAGAGAAGTTTTATTTTAGTTGCATACTGGCCCCTGTAAAAGTGATCTGCTTGACTAAATGGGTTAGGCTTTTGGACTAATAGTCCAAGTCAGTCTCCCTGAGCCTGGGCATCTTTGTTGGTTGAACTAGTTTACTTCTTAAAGGTGTTGATTTTCTTTCTCTGGGGAGAGTACGTTTTGCTGCCTTGTTTGCTCACCATTGCTGGAGGAGACCGCTGGAATGTTGTCTCAGCTGCCTTGAAGAAGCTGATGAAGCTGCTCCTCAGTGAGGTGTTACCTTGTTGCTGAGGTCTCGTGGGAAAACTATTTGAGCCCATAGCAGCTTGTCTGCTCTTGCACCTGTCAGTACAAGTATTATAGTGCTTACATTCCAGTAAAATTTATCTCTTCAGATGCGTTCTACCTTTCTCCCAAGGTGGTTTCTGAGTTTCATCTAATCTGGTAAATAAATCTGCACCTTTTTTTATATTGACCAAGACCAGTTCTTTCAGATAGGTGATGCATCTTAAAAGTTGGCGGATACACAGGAACGCCTGTGTCTGTTGGGAGGGTGACTACAGGAATAGCAACCATTATGAAAATGCCAAAGTGGAGTCTCTTCCACTCATCCATGCTTGCTCCTTCAGAGATCAAGCTGCATCAGCTGCTCTCTGAGAGGTATTTCCTTTTCCTGGAGGCTATGAAGTGGCACCCTGGACTTCTCTCCTTTGCAGCTGGTGTCTGTGATGCTTCACTAAGTGTTATGCTGCTGCAGAAACACCTAAAGCTGATGCAATGCAAGTGCTGCTTGCATAGTGATGCAATACAGTCTAGGCAATCTAGGGCGTGGATGGGAAATGCAGGTGACTAGTTGTAAGCTTAGGAGCGTAAAACACCTATCGAGTATATTTTAATTCAGGCTTTAACATCCCCGTTCAGGCGTCTAAATTAATAGTTTGTGTTTTCAGGTCTGTTGAGAGTCCGTTACTTCCCAATGAATTTAGTGGAACCTGCTGCTCAGCACTTTGAAAATTAAAGCTGACAACTTTTTTACTGAACTAAATACTTTGGCTCCCAACTCTAGGAAAACCTGAGTCTAGGGTTATTTGTTCTGAAATGGAAACAAATGGAAGTAACTTAATTGAGACATTTAAGCTTAGGAAGATTGCAGTGGAGACTGATCCGTTCCTCTACTTCCATGTTCTTGTTAATGGTGAGGAAATAGTTGTTTGGTTTTGTTTTTCAGTTTCTTCAAATATGCAGTCAGTTTACAGCTGCTGTTGCCTAAAGAAGCTTGAAGTTTAGATTCAAAATGATAAAAGTTTAGATTATCTTGTAAGGAATCTATAACTTGTCATTGTATTTGCTAAAAGTAGTGGGCCTTGCTTCTTTTTCAAAAAGCTCAAAGAATAGCTTTGCACATCAAAAATAGGTTGTGTTTGTCTGAGTGCTGTTTTCCAGAACAGTAGCCTTTGTAGTTATTAACTTCCATTTTCTTTTAACTGCTTACAGACAGGCAAAGATGACCAGTCCTGGTTTTAGTGGGATACAGATAGTAGGCATGAGTGCTACCCTCCCTAACTTGGGACTCCTAGCCTCGTGGTTGGATGCAGAGCTGTACTGCACAGACTTTCGTCCTGTGCCCCTCATGGAGTGGGTGAAAATTGGCAGCAACATTTATGACTCTTCCATGGGTCTAGTGCGAGAATTCCAGCCCAAGCTTCACCTGAAGGTAACAAAACTCTGAGTAGTGGCTTTGGGATCGCAGTTTTTCTACTGTTAAAGTTAAAATGACATATCTACTGGTACGTTTTTAAATGATTGGAATCCCACGTGGAGGGGAGTACTAAGTGGGTAGAAATGGAAAATTTGCTTTCCCCGTTTCTAGTTTCCTCTTCTGTGGAGCCTTTCACAGAATCACAGAATAGTTGCGGTTGGAAGGGACCTCTGGAGATCATGTGGTCCAGCTCCCCTGCTGAAGCGAGGTCAGCTAGAGTAAGTTGCTCAGGCCCGTGTCCAGTCTGGTTTTGAATATCTCCAAGGATGGAGACTTTACAACCTATACATCCCTCTATAATCTGCCTAGTTCTTTTCCCACTGCTGCAGGCTGCAGCGTGGAGGTTGCAATGACTTTCTGTGCACTGTGTGACCTTCATTCAGATTTATAGGTTTATGAAACCAAGACGTACAACCTGATCTATTCATGTGTAGATCTAGGGCTGCCATCAACGATAAGGTCATGCTAGCGCTTAGAGCTCCTAAAATAAGACAAAAACTAAGATGACAGTTCTCCATCTTCCTGTGCTCCTCTGTCTGATTTGAAGTAGAAGATTCCTACTGTGATACAGAACAGTTACTGCACTTTACAAACCCTGTTCAGTGTGACAGTGCATTGAAAATATTTTGTCTCAATTCAGGGAGATGAAGACCATATTGTGAGCCTGTGTTATGAGACTGTCTGTGATGGTCATTCAGTCCTACTCTTCTGTCCATCCAAGAACTGGTGTGAGAAGCTGGCAGATGTCATTGCCAGGGAGTTCTACAATTTGCAGCAAGCTGAGAGTAAGAGAAAACAGTTAATAATAGGCAGTAAGCTGCACGGTGCCTTTAATGCAAAATAATTGTAATATAAGCTATAAAAAATATTTTCTCCCTCAAGGTTCTGCAAAAAACTCAGCCCTTTCCCCGGTTGTTGTGGACAGAGAAGGGTTAAACGAGGTTCTGCATCAGCTAAAGCATTCTCTCTCAGGCCTGGACTCTGTGCTCCAACGTACTTTACCATGGGGAGTGGCATTTCATCATGCAGGTATTCCTGAATATCTTGGTCTTGAATACTGTGATGATCAAGTTATAAACCTCACCACAGCAATAGGAATCCATATGTTTACCGGTTGCTTTTTGAAACCTTCTCTAGCTTATAACTGAATTAAGATACTTTGAGTATTTCACAAAAGTAAACCTGAAATCCTTTTTTGGCCAAAGACTTCACTAATTGTGATGATAAATCTTCTCTTCTGTTGGGTAACAGCAACTTTTTAAATACAATTTAAAAATTTTTGTAGAATCCTGGAACTATGAACTGATTTACACCCAAAGCATTTTCAAGCTGTCCCTAAAGCTGCTAGGCATCTCAGAGAATTTTCCTCAGCTTAATTCTGAAATAGCTGAGTAAATAGAAGCAATATTACAATGAAAAAATTAAAAAGGAGAACGTGATGCTAGCACTTCAGGCTAGATCTTTTCTTTCTGACTTATTTAAGTATCAGTGCATGTCACCTGTTGGCCACTGAGAGAAAGAACTAACTAGTAGAAGAAAGGACAGTGGCAACAACATTGAATATAAGGGGGGGAAAAAAACTTGAAATGTTCTTGGGGTGTGGGCTTTTTCCTCAGGAATGAACTTGGCCTGAAACTCTCAAGGGTATGTAGAAAGACCTGTAATCTAGTATGAAGAAGGATTCCAGGTTCAGAACAGCAAATCATTAAATTCTAGTTCCCTACTGTGATTGCTAGATCCAGCATTTTATTTTATTTTATTTATAAATATGTAGTAAATATTTATTCATCTTGCTGCAATTTGTGCAAGATGAAGAACTAGTTTGTGAGCATTATAGTCAATTAAATGATGAAACCTTCATGGAAAGTTTGCTTCGTTTGTGTTTCAAAAGAAGAAACTGAGATTAGTGTTGTGACTGTAGTTCAGAACGGTGAATGGTAAATGTTCATTAAGTCTGTTTGTTCCTCTCCTTGCTTCACAGTAATACTGCTAGCTTTTAGATGCAATCCCACCATTAGTGGGTTCACTAAAAGCTATCTTTCCCCAGGTCTTACTTTTGATGAACGGGACATGATTGAAGGAGCCTTTCGCCAGGGCTTGATTAGAGTCCTAGCAGCAACCTCCACGCTCTCATCTGGAGTGAATTTGCCTGCACGCCGAGTAATTATACGAACTCCCGTGTTTGGTGGCAAACTGCTGGACATTCTCACTTACAAGCAGATGGCTGGAAGGGCTGGCAGGAAAGGAGTAGACACAGTGGGTAAGTGGAGGCTTTATTAACATTCTCCAAGAATGGTGTTAACCTAATTAAATCTAGGGCAGCGCTTTGCAATTAGTGACTAATCATGATGAATTCCTTTGGTGTTCAGTATGATTAAGGTAATCAAGATGAATTTGTTTGGTACTAATGGAGTAAAATTTGTAATTCCCAGGGGATTCTTTTTCAGTGCATGAGGCTTGTTTTGGTACATGTCAGTTACTTCAAGGAAGAGACTATTTTCTTCCTTAAACTCTTGGTAGCTTCTAAGACCCTACTCCTTTGCTTTATTTCTGTGGTGCGTGGTTGATTTACTAAAGCGTTTACAGTTTCAGTGTGAAAATTTTATAGTAAACTCCCATTGGACGGGCCTAAAATTGGAGAAATGCTTTTAAAGCCTACAATCATAACTCGAAAAGCTTCTTCTGTCATCTGAAGTTCTAACTTGGATTTATTAAACTTCCACTAAACAATAATATTTTTGGATCCTGAAAGCAGTAATGCTGTAGAGATACAGAGGAATATAAACCATAGGTCATAGATAATTTGCTATCTTCATGTATCCAGTGGCACTAATTGATGTTCAACAAACTAACCCTGCCTGTTAATTTAATTTGTAATGGAAACTTATGTCCATGGCTGACATTTGGAAAAATTATATATACAAATGTAAACACAATGGAAAGTATAAAGTTCAGCAGAAGCAGGAAGGAACGCTATTCTACTGATGGTTTGATTGGTGCTGGCTGGAACCCTATGTAAGCAGACTGTAATTGTATTTAACGTTCTATTTTTGCTGGAGTAACATAGCAGCCCTGAGTTTTGCAACCTGTATCTCTATGAACTGTCCCTATGTGTTTTTATAAAAAAAAAAAAAAAAAAAAAAAAAGGGGCAGCTGCATGTTAACATTTAAAAATTTCCCAGACTTTTTATCATTTGAGTGTAGCTTGCAGGTATAAAATTACGTTATTTCTATAGTTTTCTTTTTCCCCCTCTTCAAGTCACAAGAAGTGGTACCTTTTTTGACAGTTCGGATGTGATTGTCTGTTTTGCACAGTAAGCAGTTGAGTTTATGCTGATGAGCTTCATAAATGTACCGTTTTTTTCCACTCTGAAGAGTCTTTTGGATGAGAGCATAAAACTACATTACCAGCTGCTACTTTTTGAAGAGTAGGGATACTACAGAAAAGCAATTTGAGTTTTTTAAAAAAAAAAAAAAAAAAAAAAAAAAAAGGACAGCTATATGTGGATATGAAATTCAGTTGACAAACAGAAAGATGATGATTGCTATTAGATTGATTTTTGCCAAATATTGTATTGTTGGTTTGTCTCAGGTTTTGACTTTTTGACTGATTTGATGAAAAATGAAAAATATTATTTTAGGAAGTAAAATTAGGTTATTTTTATTTTTACATTCATCAAAATCATCATGTTTCCAGGATATTTAAAAAAAAAAAAACAAAAACCAAAAGCTCTTCAATGTTGCTGAACCAAAACAAGGAACCAGACTACTAATAAGTTCTTTTCCATTTACGAGTGGAGGTATGCCTGTAGTTTGAAGGGGTTAGCTGCAGCAGCATGTGTAAAATTAGGCTTTAGAGAGGAAACTTAATAGATAATACAGTTTAATTTCCCTTTTGCTCTTTCTCTGTCTCACCGCTCTTTCTCTGTCTCGCTCTCCTCTATTTTTTATTATTATTATTATTTTTAACTCTGTGGCAGGCTACAGTTACTGGCTTTAAATTCTCACTGGCATCTTGGGAAAGGGTTCCCCCCGTATCTTAATGTCTATTAGATAAGGTATGGCCAAATAGATACCTGTTTTTTTTTAACTTTGACTACTCAGCGTGATAAATGTATCACAGGGAATTGTGGGTCATATCAGGAACCACAGAAGAGACGAATTAGTGTTTTTTATTGCTAAAATCAAGATAAGCTTTCCTTTCACAAAACAGTACTTGCTGTCAGTTTGTCGTATCTTCTCTACTCCAGCTTTGACTGAAGCAGGTGGCCAACAGATGTCAAAGGTTTCATGTGGGAGGGCAAAAAATTCCCAAGAGACGTTGTCTGAGCATGTTTTTTATCCTGTCATTCGTTACTGTAATCCTGTTTAAGCTCTGTGTGGTTACTCACACACAGTACATTTGTGGTATTTATTCCATTAATTAAATTTAAATGTAGTTGTGTTTTCATTACCTCTGGATTAGCAGCATTACCATGGCTACAGTTTTATCATAACTTAGCATTCGTTCCTAGGATCTTATTAAGATACACAGTACCAAAATAACTATGGTGTCCAGGCTACGCATGCTTAAATCTAACAAGTTATCATAAAACTTATATTTACTGTGCAGCTAATCCAGACATAATGTTTTCTTCAGTCAAAGGCAAGTTTGTCCTACCTATAATTCATTTATCTTGCACCACTTGGCAAAGCTTCTAATTAGCTAGGCCTCTCAGGAACCTAATTTCTCTGCAATGGCTTTGTTGAAAAAACCCTCCTCTGTGTTGGCCAGTAATTTTTGTTTCATAGCTTTGGGATCTTTTTTGTCTCTCATAGAATTTCAGTAGTTAGGGATTAACTTTTAAGTCCTGTATCAGACATTGTCAGGTTAGATCTATTTAGATGTACTTCCAGTGGAAACCATTCAGGGAATGCATATGCACACATACAAAACCTTAAGTATTCTGAACTTTCATATATGCATATATATAATTACTTAGATTAATGTCTTTGATGTATTTCTGTATTGCTTTGGTATCTGTTATTTCATTTTGGGAATGGAAGTTGGTTAACTTAACACCAACTTGCGACATGCAGTGCAGTTTGTATTTTTTTCTTCCTGGTTTTGAGAATCTTTTTGATTTAACAGTGTAGTTTAGAAAGATATAATGGTGCCTGTATATCATGATTCCAGTCAATTCCATAACAAGAAGCGAGAGGGGTTCAGCCCTGGAACGTGTGCTGAGAGGCTGTGGAATCTCCGTCCGTGGGGATATTCAGAAGTTGATTTGACAAGACCCTGAACAGCTTAATGTAACTTTGAAGTTTGTCCTCTGAGATTTTAGTTCTTAAATGTTATTCATCTTTGGAGTTCTTACGTAGCAATGACTATACACTGCTGAAGTTGGCAAAGAGCAAACGGTTTTTATCTTTCTAGTTCATTTTTTCCAAAAATACCTACAACTCTGTTCCAATGCTATGTCCTCAGTGAACTGTATGTAGCTATTACAGTGGTGAGATGGAATGCTAAAGGTCATTAATGTTCTTTTTGTTTCCCATATAGGGGAGAGCATTTTAGTTTGCAAGCCCTCAGAAAGATCGAAGGGAACGGCTCTGCTTCAGGGATCTCTCAAGCCTGTTTGCAGTTGCTTGCTTAGAAGGGAAGGGGAAGGTATCGCTTCTAGCATGAAACGAGCAATACTTGAGGTATGGGACATGTGGAGAGGAAGTGGAACTGTGCTTGCGCTCTTGTGATTGTAGTATGTTTTCTTTTGTGATACCATCACATGTTTTCTGTTTGCTTTCTTGCTCTTCGTTTTCCTCTTTTGCCAACACAAGCAGCTTCGAAAGAAAATGACGTGGGTCTGCCAGCTTGCTTCACTGTTTAGCATTTCGATTTGTATGTTGCAGCATGCGCTTGCCACAGAGACTGTTAAAACAGGAGCATGCTCAAATAAGAGTTATGAAGCTTGGCTTTTGTATCAATATGTACTCACACTGCAGTCAAAAGCACGTGTAATTCTTACTCTTCATGTGTGATCTGACAGTCTAACTGGGAGATGCTTGTATATTACTGATTCCTGAGACTTTGTAGACTGAATCAGGCTATAATGACATTTGTAGAACCTTGTGGTCCTCTTTGCACCTCAGTTAGCCTACCTCTTTTGCACAGAAATGATTGAAGCTTTGTAAATAAGTTTTTGCCGAACAAACAAGCCTGGAATCCCATTTGATCCTTCTAGCCTGTTCCCCTCTATAGGGTTCCCAGAAGTAAAAAAGTAACAAAAGGATGTTATTCCACGTAGGTGAGCTTATCTCGTCCTTTCCCAGAGTTGCTTTTGGACTTGAACTGAGCTTAAACTTGTTTTTAAATCCAGTTCTTCTGTTAGCTATACTACTGCTAGTGTTTTCTGTGGAAGCTCTTGTAGTACTTAGAGCTTGATTGTGATTCCATAGATTGTGAATTTTTACCAGACCAATGTAATTTCTATGCATTTTGCTATATAAGAGCTGTCTAAGAGATGGCTTCTCTCCTAGTAGCATTACTTTATTACATGAAAAAAATCCATTGAAACGTTGAAAAAAGTTTTCAGATATACATCTTGCTATCTTGTTTAGTCAAGGAAAGCTTACGCTGTTAATCCTTGTAAATGATTTACAAGGAAAAAGCAATTATCTGAAGAACAAAAACAAAACAGCAAACCCAAGGGAAAAATTACTTTAAACCAGCAAAGCAATGATGGGTTATAGCATTCACATTTACTTAGAAAAAGCTTCGGTAGCTGTAGAAGAACTCTTTCTTCTCGTTTTTTATCTTCAAAAAAACTGCAGTCCATGTTTTAACCTTTTAAAAGGTATTTCACAGTGTTGGTTAAACAAAATACCTAGGGGGCTAATCTCTTAGTTCTAAACTGCCTCTGTGCATATATGTGATTTCAAAATATTAAGGTAAGATTTTAAAATTAATCATTTCCTGTAGCTTTGTCGTTTTGTATTGCTACCTATGGTGTCCATCTCTTTGCCAAGACAGGTGTGAAAATATTTCTTTTTCTATAAGTCCTTAAGGGTTGGCAGTTGCTTTGGTACGTGTTCCTGTCTCGTACTGGTTCTTTAAAACTTAGATGGATCTGATGGATCAGTCTCTTTGTTTCTCAGATCTGATGTTCCATCTTACTGTTTCTTTGGCAATATGATCAAGATATTTTCTTCAGCAGATCATAGTGGGGGGAGTGGCCAGCACTCCAGAGGATGTGCAGACCTACGCTTCTTGCACTCTTCTTGCGGCCAGTTTGAAAGACAGTAAGTGGGGAAATGAGAAAGATCAAGACAAAGTGCAGAATGGAGCTATTGAGGCTTGTGTGGCATGGCTGCTGGAGAATGAATTCATTCAGGTTCTGGACTCTGCCAACAAAGCGAAAGGTAACACTGGTGCTCAGTATTCTGCTTCTTTCCAGTGACTGCAATTAGCACTTTTGAATCAATAAGTCTTCTGCAGCTGGGTAGATGTAATGTAATGTACATGGAGAATGTAATTTTATGATGAGGACCTCTGTGCTCTTTTTTTTTTTTTTGTTTTGTTTTGTTTTAAATTGCATATCAGGAATTTTTTAGCTCTTTAACGGGTTCCTTCATTCTTGCTTTAACGTTGTTTGCACGTGTTCTCATTGCAAGGCCTCTACGTGTAATCTCTAAGACTGATGTGTCCTAGTCTACAGCTTCCCAAACTATCTTTAAAGAAGGTGAACTCTTACTGCAGGACTTGTGCACATTGACTGTGGGCTATAATTTTTTTTTTTTCTGAAGAGGAACTGGTGTGTTCTGAGAGAGGGCAGTTACTTCTAGAACTGCTTGGTGCACATGGTTGTGCTTTTTCTTGTTATTGGCTGTTTTCTTAAAATGGCTCAAGATGAGACTCTTACAGTAATAGTAAGAACCTCCCATTACCGGTCAATTTTTTATCTCCTGATAAGGAAAAGATGAAAGATGATAGGAGATATTTGGCTCTCTTAGGAGAGAAGTACTCAAAATGATAACTCGTGGACATAGGATGGCAGATGGAATTCCAGTAGTTTTAGTTCAAATAACTCTCATTAAGTGTTACTCTGAGTACAGCTTGAAGGGAGCCAAATTTGTAATCCAACCTCTCAAAAAGAGACAAAAGAGACTTAACTTGGACTTAGGCAAGATATTTAGTTTGTTTTTATTTTCCTATCTTCAAAACAGAGAGGTGCTCCATTTCTTTTTGAAAGCGCAACTGGGGAAACTTAGTAGAATTAATATCTATAAAATTCCTTGCAACCTGAAAGTGAGAAAAGTAAGATATAAGCTTGCCCTTAAATATCTTTTTTCCTTTTTCTTTTCCTTTTCTTTTTTCTTTTTTTTTTCATAGTGAAAGTTTACCATCCAACACATCTTGGCTCAGCTACTCTTTCCTCTTCTCTTTCACCAACTGAAGCCATGGGAATCTTTGCTGACTTGCAGCGAGCTATGAAAAGCTTCGTTCTGGAGAATGATCTGCATATTGTCTATTTGGTAGGTTCCTCTCTTTTTTTTTTTTTTTAAAGCTTATACTTTATACTTTTAGCTTATACTTAACAATACTTATACTTTTGTTTCAGCTTGAAATGCAAAAGTTAAGGAAAGGAGAGAAAGCACAGTGCAGGGGTCTTGAAAGCTCCATGATTCTATTTTCTGTGCTTTATATAGCTTCAGCTTTCCTGAAGGAAAGTTTCTAAACTGAATGTTCTTCAGAATCAGTCTGTCTCTGTAGTATCTATTGTGTAGGCAGGTGTTGCACGTCCACCTAATAGGACGTGGTAGGTGGTATAGTAGGACATAGGTGGTATAGTATAGGATAATGGTAATTTTTCTGAAATATTTGAAGTGGACCAGTCAAGTTTTTTTTGGTTTGTGTCAAAGTTTGGGCTCAGTAGGCTGCATCTCAGGTTACCTCTGGAAGCTCAGAAAACTTTTGCGGTTTCAGCATCTGTTTTGCCTACAAAAAGCCTCACAGAACTACACCTCTAATCAGCTAACCGATGCTGTCTAAGACCTAGGGAGAGGGAGTCATAAACCTGTGAAGGTTAGTGAGGAAACAAGATGGAGTTGCACCAAACATCTTAAGATTCATGGGCTGGCAGGCTTATCATTCAAACATCATACAAAATTTGGGAGTTGTCTTTAGCCTACTTAAATATATCAAGTGCTTTTTCTTTACCAGGCTGATACATCAAAAGCAAAATTTGTGATTCTTACCTGAAAAAATGTTTGCTCCAAGGAGAATGTGCAGGAGTCCTTGGGGCAGGCGGATGTGAGGGTCTGAGTATGCCTGTGTCTGCGTGTCTCTGCTTGCTGTGTTCATTCACCTAGTTGCTAACTGACACTGATTTTTTTTGTGGAGCTGCCATTGTCCCGTACGTGCCCATATCTGCCTATATTCCAGAAGACCGCGTTATATTTTGTTCTAGTAGGCAAAGTGAATTGTTTCGTGTTGTGCTCCAGAGAATTTTTCCTGTTCGCGTTCCCAAAAAGGGGAAAAAAGATGGATTTTGTTCATGTTCTGAGGTAGAGACAATGATGGTAACGTATTTTTTGCCCTGGACTTTCTAAACCACGGCACTGCCTGACAAACGTTTCGAATCAAATACATTGCTGAACAAAATTTTCTTGAGATTCTCTTCTGTTAACCTAGCCTAAAACACTTTCTTGCAAAGTCTGTTCCTTTTCAGGAAAGTATTTGTGTGTCGGTGTATATATGTGTGTATGTATGTATTTTATTTTTTATTTTTTCCCTTTTAAATTTTTTATTATTATTTTATTTTTTAGTAGTTTTTCTCTAGATGGGTTACAGGAAAGTTATCTGCTATAACGTTTTTCAGTTCCCTTAGGCTTGAATCTTTTACCTGTACAAATTTGAGACAAAATTTCAAGGCCTTATATTTTAGCAAAGTTGATTAAAAAGGTGAAATATTTGCTAAGCTAGCAAAAGGATTTTATTTAAAAAAAAAAAAAAACCCAAAACCAAAAAAACACCAAAAGTAAAAGCCTTGAGTAACTCTTGCTCTTCTCAGCAGATAAGAGGATTGGAGGATTTACAACTGTCTAGGCTTCTTCTATTCTGTGTTCTATTAAATACTCCCGAAGAACTGTTAATTAGTTATTTCAAAATAACTAATCTTGCAGTATGTCACAGACATGAAGACGTTTTGTCTCCTCATACTGCATCTGATTCTGTACTGGTTGAATGATAACAGAATTGTTTGTCTGTCTAGAATTGTGTACATGCTTTAGGTGGCTCTTCTGTTAGCGTTAATAAAAGTTGAGATTTCTTGTGCTCAAGGTGAATGCAAACTTCAGTAAGTCCGGGCAAAAAAAGACTGTGTTTCCTTCTGCCTGATCAGAAGTCATGGCAGTGGTTAGTGTGGTTACTATTATTGGATGTTTGTTTATTTATTTATCTGTTTTCCTACTGTGTACTGGAAAAATATCTTCTTGACGTTGATTTTAATAGGCTGATAGAAGTTAGTCAGTTTTGTTACAGGAGAGTAAAGATACAGCTTAAAAAATTCTTTAGTGGCTTGTATTTAGGGAGCAATCTGACAAAGATTCCAAACTGTTTAATCATTAGAGTATGCCCAACATGAGTCACATCTCGTCAGTACAAATATTAAAAAACTAGATTAGAAAAGCTTTTACTTTCTTCAGGATACGTGGTTATGACTCAGTGCCTCTCAGTAGCACGTAGGATGCTCTAACCACATTCCCTAGATTGTGTTTTTGTTTACACTTGTCTTTGAAAAAGCTCTGCTCTGCTTGTTGCTCTGAAATAGTTTTTGCACTGTCTTGTTTTCTTTAGGTTACCCCAGTGTATGAGGAGTGGACCACAATTGATTGGTACCAGTTTTTCTGCCTATGGGAGAAGCTACCTGCCTCAATGAAGCGTGTAGCTGAGCTGGTGGGGATTGAAGAAGGCTTTCTGGCTCGCTCTGTAAAGGGCAAAATCATAGCTAAAACAGAGAAACAGCATAGACAAATGGCCATCCACAAAAGGTAGCCACAAATGGGCTCAAAGACCAGAAGCTATGGCATGTGGAGAAGACAGGTTCTGTCTGTGTGTTTTCTGGAACGGGCTCTCTTGCTAAGTGAGCTGGTAGCTCAGATATGTTTACGGAGAACCTGGGCCTGGTCTGCTGTGGACCAAGAATACTGCTGCCCTAAGATGTTTGCGTTGATACTATCAGACGCCATCTTCTGTGTTCCTTTTGTGTGCTGTCCTTTACCCCTCTCCTGTCTTGTACTATCACAGTGTGTTTTGCCCGTGCCCTAACCTGCCTAGATGAATGATTTTATTTCTATGCATGCTTTTTCTACAGATTTTTCGCCAGTCTTGCCCTCCTGGATTTAATCAGTGAGATTCCCTTAAAAGATATGACCAAGAAATACGGTTGTAGTCGTGGCCAGCTTCAGTCCTTACAGCAGTCTGCTGCCGTCTATGCAGGTGACTTATATAAGCAAAAAACTCTCGGGAGTCTTGGCTAGTCTCTTTTCTTTCTTTTCAAATCAGGGGATAAGATAGCTGCAGTGCGGTCCTAACTACAGTGGTCTTGTAAAACCTCTTCCAGTTTTATAACCTAACTTGTGAGATGGAATCACAGAGTAGTACGCTGTGGGAATGGGGGCGAGCTGAATGGAATCAGGCAGTGTTATAGCATGCTGAGGTCTGTGGAAGCTATCAGATAGTTTGCCGTGCAGGAACGCAGTTTGTTCGATATCAAGTATGGAAATTAAGTACGAGTCCATTCTGAAGCTTTGCTATATCAGCAAAGAGTACCTTCGGAATGGGTGAAGTTTGAGGTCTCTAAGCTTTGCGGTGGCTGTTTCCTGGTAGCAAAGTTTATCAGCCAGAAAGTACACGTTTAATGTTTCAAAACAGAGTGAGTAGTTGCCAGGTCATTTGTCCCCAGATATCGAGAGATCAGAGAGCTGTGACCTTTAACATCACTTCTTAAAAGGGATTGTGCAGGAAAAGAGGTAACAGCACAATCATGTAATTAAGAGTTTTTTTCTGTCACCTACATCCCCTGTTATTCTGTAAGTGGGTCCTCAATTTGAAAGACAGTTTTAGCTCAATGTGTTAAACCCCATGTGTGGGTTGCAGCATGAGTCAAAGCCCCAGAATGAAAAGGCCACGCCAACTGATGCAGAGTAGCTTAAATTAATTCTGGCAGTATAAACAACTTTTTATTGTAGCAGTTTCACAATTCTCTATTCCCAGTAGTAATCGTTTTCAGCGGTCAGGTAGATTAGTACAGACACAAAAATAATTTGGGAACTGAAGTTAATCTGTTGACATGAGGCATAGTTAAGAGATATGATAAAAGTTGTATTCTATAAACACTATTAAAAAAGTGACATTGAGGGATGCTATATCTTTCAGTTATTTTCATATTCTGAAGGCTGAGTATGAAACTGCCTTTTCCTTGTTTTTTTTCCTCCTCCCATGCTCTGGGGACTGCAGTTTTAACCTGTACCGTAGGTTTTGCTGTCTCCTATGGTACTCTCAGTAACCAAAGTTATGCAGACCAAGTTCTGCTGTTATGGAAATCAGTGCCAACTTTCCTCAAAGATCTGTGGCTCCTTTTAGTGCCTTTCATTGCTGCTTTTTGTATTTTCTTTTCTTCATTGGGTTTGGTTCATGGGGATCGTGTTATAGAGTATGGATGCATTTCATGCTTGCAAGATTAAGATCTTTGGAAAAAGAGTGTCGTTTACGGTTTCTGCCTCGCTTGTAAACTGGTTAATTCTAGCTTAAATTGAGTTCTGCGAGAACAGCTCCTAGTCAGAGACGCAATATGCATGTGTTAGGGAATAGTGACAGTTCCCATATGTGCTGTGAAGGTGAGAAACGTAAAGGTAATGCCTATTAGATGCAGGGAGAGAATGGATCCAGCTTAGTAGAACTGAACCTAGAATTAAGTCTCTGATGCAACTTTTATGTTCCAGGAATGGTAACAGTTTTCTCTAATCGACTGGGCTGGCACAACATGGAACAGTTGCTTTCTCAGTTCCAGAGCCGACTCACTTTTGGTGTTCATAGGGAGCTATGTGACTTGGTACGCATCTCTCTGCTGAATGCGCAGTGTGCTAGGATGCTTTACAATGCTGGCTTTGTCACAGTGGCTGATCTTGCTAAAGCCAGCGCTGATGATGTGGCGACTGCTCTGAAGAATTCAGTGCCATTTAAAAGGTGAGAAATCAGTCCAGGAGTCAGGTAAGAACTTTCTTTGTGAGGTAAAGGATTACAGGATGATTGCCTGTAATTAAGTATGGCAGCCTTTTGAAACTTGGTGCCAAATGTTAATTAAAAATAACGTGTAGCTCACTGTGACTAATCACAATAACTCCATGATTATTTTGAAATTAATGCAAGCATGTTGTATTTGCAGTATAACTTGAGGAGGCCTACGTTTTCTTGTTGCTTCTCTTTTTGACCTACAGTTTAGTCCTATGCAAACTGTTAAAGCTTTCTGGAGACTTTTTGCTGCCTTTAAAGAAGAATTAATGCTTTTGTGCTCCTCCATGTGATCAAATGAGTCCATGATGTATTGCAGCATATCATATGAGATTCTCTTCTGATCTTATGTTAGTGAAATGACAAACTGTCAGGATCGAGTACCTATCAGAGTGTGCTGTTACACCTGTCTGGCTCATGCTCCTGAGGTTTCTGTTCCATGGAAACTAGTGCATGAAGGGTAATTGATTCAGACCTGCATCTTGCGCTAGTAGGGAGTCGGGACTCATCTGGGGCGCATGTTTGGATACAGAAACTTGGGAGTGCTTCTGGGGTATGCAGTCTAGACATAATCACTGATAGCTTTCATTGGCACCAATTCACATTTAGAAAACTGGAATAGTCATTTACTCAGTAAGTGCAGTATATTTTGGACGTGCTTCTGTGAAGCTATCATGCTAATTGAAATAGGAGTGGAGCCGCAGAGGGATGATTTCTTGTATTGTTTGCTGTTATCTGTATGAGTGTTTAAATCTGCCTGTTAACCTTTCCTGTAGTGCTCGTAGGGCTGTGGACGAAGATGAAGAGTCAGCGGAGGAGCGTCGGGCTATGCGCAGCGTCTGGATGGCCGGAATGAAGGGCTTAAGTGAAAGTGAAGCGGCTTCCCTCATTGTGGAGGAAGCCCGGGGACTTCT